CAGCCAGGGGACTCAGGGGACACAGGATGGCCTGGTGCACACACACAGTGGCCTGTCCCTGTGGCACCGCGTGTTTCAGGAGTGCATGGCACCCAGAGGGGCTGCCGGGGAGTCTTTTCAAGTCTCTGGGCCCATGCATGTTTGCCGGTGTTTTCATTTGGTTCTTGTGTGGTGCCATCCAGTTCGGTCCGGCTCACAGGGACTCTGCCCTGCAGAAACCCTGCCCCGGCCTGCAAGTGGACGTTTGAGCCCATTGTGGTGGCTGCTGTGTCCATCCATCAGGGTCTTCCTCTTTGTCACTGCCCCTATTATCAAAACTAGTGAGAGGACCGTTGGAGCATAAGCTGACCGGGCATCTGGGCATCATCCGTACCCATTTAAGGAAGTAGAGGATCTACGCAGGGCCTTCAAAAAGCGTGTGTAAAAGTGGAATGAAAAGACGGTAGCATTTTCCCGTGAACTTTGGGAAGCCCCCTCCTCTAAAAGGAAAAGAGGGCAGGGTCCATGGGATGTGCCCTGTGCAGATAAGAGGTGTCTGCGGCTTGTTGTATCGCTTCTTCCCAAAGCATTTCTTTACCAGGTTTTCCGATTCTGTGTCGTGTGTGTGTGTGTGTGTGTGTGTGTGTGTAATTATGTGTGTGGTTTCTCGTGTGTGTGTGTGTAATTATGTGTGTGGTTTCTCGTGTGTGTGTGTGTAATTATGTGTGTGGTTTCTCGTGTGTGTGTGTAATTATGTGTGTGGTTTCTCGTGTGTGTGTGTAATTATGTGTGTGGTTTCTCGTGTGTGTGTGTGTGTGTAATTATGTGTGTGGTTTGTTGTGTGTGTGTGTGAGATGTGGACTTATAGCTGTGTTGTAGCTCAATATGTGCGTGCAGTCTGAGTTGCTTTGTGCGGTGTGTCTGGGTGTGTATGTGGTCGGTGTGAATGTATCTGTGCACATGGTATGTGTGGGTGTGTTGCATGAGTGTGTGTGCGTGGTGTGTGAAGGTGCCTGGGCAGTGGGTGTGGCTGAGTTTTGTGAGTGTGGTGCGTGAGCAGGTGGTCGGGTGTAGGTGGGAGGCGCTGGGTGAGACTCTCCTTGAGTGTGAGTGTGTGTGTGCAGAAGGACAGGGACAAAGAGGAAGGCCCTCAGGGAGACGGACGGACACCGTGGCTGCATCCATGGGCTGTGAGGATGGCGCAGGGCCGGCGGTCTCTTGTTCTGTCCTCCGTGCACCCACCACCACCCATCACGCTGGTCTTCTGTATCTTGTTTAAGGGCCTGTGGCCCT